TAAAAATGGAGAAGAAGGAGCATGGCCAAACAGAATGTTTGGAATTTGAAAAGAAAATAGTGTGGGGAGTCCATCACCATTTAGGGCCTTGCTGAAAATTCAGCTATTTCTTCAGGAAATGCATGTTTAAAAACAGAATAAAAAACTATTGTTCTCCCCATGTTCTCTTAAATTTTGTCCCTATTGTCCTTCCTTTAATTAGCTTTGCACTAATTACCATTCACTATTGCTTTTTTCACTCTGAAGGCAGCCATGGTACCTCTCCTGCTTCTTGCTATCACCTGCAGTCAACAATTATGCTCGTTTTTACTTCCTCACTCAGAAACCTTCAGTGACTCTCCATTGTCCCTAAAGTGGTCCTCAGATATTTTTTGGTTGTATGTGCTTATCAGTAAACCAATGTTTACACAACGCCTCTCTCTCTCTCTCTCTCTCTCTCTCTCTCTCTCTCTCTTTCTCTCTCTCTCTCTCTCACACACACACACACACACACACACACACACGTAATTTATTTTTAAATTATTTATATGCTATTGCATTTCACTTTTATGTAAATTACAAAGATCTATCAAAATACATGAACAAGTATAAATAGAGTTTCTAGTATTTTTTCTCCGTACCTCTTGCACAGCCCACTTTGTAAGATAAAATCCAGGTTCTTTTGAATCACAGTCTTCTTGAGAGTACCCAGTGTAGGTAGTATGAAGGCGGTCAGTTTCCAGATTCTGAACCCTCTCCTGACAGTGATGTGCCGGGGAATGGCTGGCATTGAACCGATTTCTCGTTCCCAGCCTCCCTTTCCCAACTGCTCTGTCTTTTCACAACAGAAAGACAACCCTCGGCCATCCTGAACTGTGCTTTGTCCCCAAACGGAGGAATGGCTTGAGAACACATCGCCCCTGAGAGAGAATCTCTTGAGAGCGTAAGAAACACGGGCAGGGCAGTGCCCTCTTTCATCCTGGACAAATTCCTGGCAAGTGTCTGTGCCTTGGACAATGACTATCTTAGAATGAGAAGTCACAAGTGAGGTTGTAGAAGAACTTGTAGTGAGATAGTGCTTTTAGTTTAAAAATGAAGCTAAACTTTTTTTCTGATACAAGTTAAGTCCAATTAACTGACCAGTTTGACTATGCAGACTATATTTTCCATAAGTGGAATGGGCTACATCTGTGGCTCCACATTTTGGATGAAAATATATGCAAAACACCCAATAGACAATGTACCTTAAATGTCATCATTTGTAACTATTATATTTCAGCTTCTGATGACCACTACCATAAGCTGGCCACTCACAATATTCATAACCAACCACTCTTTTCCAGCTCATCTCCTGTCAGTCCTCTTACGGCTTTAGCCACCCCACACTCATGCCCCTGGGCACTCCACCTGCGGACTTAAGCTAGTTCCCCCACGGGAAATACCCTTCCCTCCTGTCTCTGTGAGTGGGCTGAATTCCCATCTAACACCTGCTTGATCTGTGGCACTAATTAGGCATTGAGGATGCAAAATGAACATAATAATAGCCTTGGCCCCATTTTCATAGACTATGAGATTCTAGTCTGGGAGACAGACGGATAAACAGGGACAATAGGGTATGACAGAGCTATGATGGGGACCTCTGAGGTTGTTGGGAACTCAGCCCTAGGGGAGGGTGTCAAGGAAATCTCAGAGGAAGGGGCCAAAAAGCCAAACCCTAATGATACACAGGAGTCAGTCTGACATTTTGTAGGGAGGGGAGAGAAGAGGACTGATCTCCACCAAGAGGACAAAAGTGAGTTGGGTGGGCATTGTTAAAGCAATTCCTCTGTGAAGTCAGGATTTTGACCATCGGAGACACGGTTCCCTAATGCTAGGGTCCAGATACAAATTTCCACCAAGTTCAATCTATTTCATGTTTTTGCGAGAAGGGTCACATTCTCTCAAAGGCCTAATTTAGAACCGGCTGAAAGTCAAGGGAGAGGTCATCTCCAGAAAAACTTTCCCTCACTGTTTGCCAAACACAAAATATTTGAACCCCAACCTCAACTGCTGGGGGAATGGGTAGTCTTTTTATATAGGGTTAACCAGAAATAGTGCTCAGTGAACACTCTGGGGCTGTCTGTGAAGAAACTGACAGGTAGTTTACACATGTGGCTTGTTCTGAGGGTGGAGCCACCCTCTAAACAAACTAAGTGAGGCTAGGAGAACCACAAAAAGAGAAAACATTCTGTTTCCAGGACTGCCTTGTGCCCCGCAGAAGAGACTGTGAGGGCTCAGCGTCTGGTTCTCACTGCTCCGCCTCTGATCCTCAGGCGAGAGGCCTGGAGGCACTCCCCAGAGATGTTCAGTTGTTCACTCACGCCACCACTCACAATGCTGACTCATTATCAAGCTATTTATTTCTATGAGAGACTTTCCTCTACAAATACAATAGCAGAGAGGTGTGACAGATGTGGCGTTAGGCATCAAATATTTCCTATACTGATCATAATTCAGCTCCTAATAACTCTTTCTTCATTCAAAATAGAAAATGTACTCAGTGTTCTAGTTCTCTGATACAGTCCACCCATGTACCATCACAATAGATTTTTATTTTATTTCTCATCTTGTTTTCTTCTTCAACTACGCATATGCAGGTTAAAATCATCTCCAGGACACTATTCACTATGGTAGTAGAATCAGTAGGTCTCACTCATGACAGCTTAGTTATTGAAGCACCAAAGGATGTCCTTATAAATACTGACTATATACGGAAATCATGTGACATGGACCCCAAGGACCCCATAACCAGTGAGGTTCCAACAGGCTATATTGTTGGCAAAGCTATTTCATTTCTTTCAGGAAAATCATTATAAATTCATCCCGGAACACACAAACTTATTTTTGTTAAAAAGTTGTTATCAAGTTCTGCAGGCTCAGACCTATGTTGGATATTTTTCCATTATAAATGTTTGCTATCAGTGATACCATATTTTTCCAGATGGGTGGGCCAACTGTAATTCTGCTCTGTAATTATTATTTCTACCAGTTCCCCAAGCATTTTCTGATAATGGCTTTTATTTCTTTATATATATATATTAGAGGCCCAGTGCACAAAATTCATGCAGGGGGTGTCCCCTCAGCCCAGCCTGTACTCTTTCCAATTTGGGACCCCTCTGGGGATGTCCCACTGCTGGTTTAGGCCTTCTCACAATCTGGGACCACTGGCTGCCTGCTTGCCTGATCACTCCTAACTACCCCCCGCCCCTCACCAGCCTGGTCACCCCTAATTCTCCCCCCCCCCCCCATAGGCCTGGTCACCCCTCTCTGCCCCCCTCTGCCGGCCTGGTTGCCACTCATTGCCCCCTGCCCCTCCCTGCTAGCCTGGTCACCACTAACTCCCCCCCTCCCCGCCCCGCCCCACGCAGCCTGCTGTTTGGTCATTTGTCACCCCTCATTGCCCCTTCGATGGCCTGGTTGCCACACACAGCCTGTTCAGTCGTCCGTTCGGTTGTTTCGGTTGCGACCATCGCTTAGGCTTTTATATAGAGATATTTAACACCGAAAGCCAGGGCTTTATTTTGAGAGTTGGTTGTAAGCATCTAGTAGCACACCACTGGTAAGGCAATACACATTTGATACTAGTACACTGTGGAGGCTAAATCTAGTTAGCAAAAGCACAATACAAAGAACAAATGATTGTCATCCTTTCAACCCTCAGCAGAAACCCGGATATCTTGTTTTGCTGCTGGCCCCACTAGCCATGCATGGAGGAATGTGGAGAGACACATGACACCTGACCAAGTGGGGCTGGTATCGTGGCTTGAAATGGGTTTGGCTTGGACACTATACCTTTTCCCAGCTCACTCGATTGGCAGAGGATCTGAACTGGGTGCAGCTCTTAAATTCAGGCTGCTGGCAACAGAGAGGGCCGAAGCAAATTCTGCCCACCAGTGCTGCTCATGAACTCTGCTGGTGTCCTTAGGTTCTAAGAATCAGTGAAAATGAAAGACCCTAGAAACATGCACATTCACATAAGATGAGGAATATATGCTGCAAACACAAGGAGGGAAGTCAGCCAAATTGGAGGCCAATGTTAGTAAGTACAGGAGAAAAGTGATTCCTTTCTTTTTTAAAATATATTTTTATTGATTTCAGAGAAGAAGGGAGAAGGAGAGACAGAAATCAATGATGAGAGAGAATCATTGATTGGCTGCCTCCTGCAGACCCCACATTGGGGATCAAGCCCAAAACCTGGGCATGTGCCCTTGGCCAGAATCTAACCTGGGAACCTTCAGTTCATGGGCCAATGCTCTATCCACTGAGCATACCAGCTAGGGCCCTTTCTTTTTTTCCAGTTTTATTGAGAGATAACTGACATACAGCACTGTGTAAGTTTAAGGTGGCATAATGATCTGACTTACATATATTATGAAATGATCTAATGATTAAGGCCTTTACAAAGTTTGTAACAATGGTGAAGATAGGTTTATATGGGTGTACATAAATGTGCTTGCAAATGGGTTTAGACCCTTATGTGGAAAGGGTCTGAAGTCTCCTAAACAGAAAATATTTATCAAGTAAATCAGAACAGACTTAAGAGTTTGGAAAATGCGGGGGTGGGTCAATCGGAGGAAAAGGAGACATATGTAAAAATTTAGACAAAAAAAAAAAGTTTGGAAAATGGTAGCAGGGCTCAGTGACTTTATAACAAACACGGCCAACGTCACATTTTAACACCTCCCCACTCCCAGATTAACTTTACTTCTGTCACCCTCTTCACTTTTAAAATTCCTTCCATTCGCCGAAACCAGTTTGGCTCAGTGGTAGAGCATTGGTCTTCGGACTGAAAGGTCCCAGGTTCGATTCCGATCAAGGGCATGTACATTGGTTGCGGGCACATCCCCGGTAGGGGGTGTGCAGACTCTCATCGACGTTTCTAGCTCTCTATCTCTCTCCCTTCCTCTCTGTAAAAAATCAATAAAATACATTATAAATAAATAAATAAATAAATAAATAAATAAATAAATAAAATTCATTCAGCAAAATCAGTTCCATTCAGGGGAACAAACACATTGTAGCTTCTGTTCCTGATACTTCTCTGTGTACAGTGATGGAAAATACAGTTTTAGTTTTCAGTCTTGCAGCTGTAATGAAATGAATTACGCCTCCAAAGCCCCAGGTTTTCCTAAGGGGACACCTAAAAAACATGCCACTTCATTTATGCTCGGGGGCTTCTCAGAACTGAGATCATTTTCTTGTAGAGGGATATTTTTGAGAAATTGACAACATGTAAATGCTACCTTGGTGCCAGTGTTCCCCGGGCAAAGGCTGGGCCTTCACATGCAACGCCATCTCTCCTTCCCAGGCAGGGCCTTGCAACGCCGCGGAGCGTCCAGCAGATGGCGCCGCAGCTGAATTTTCGCGAGTTGCTCTCCAAGCCTGCAGGAATCTGGAATAAACAGGAAGGAGAATTTTTTTTTAAGCATTGTAATTTTCAACCTCTCTCTCTCTCTCTCTCTCTCTCTCACACACACACACACACACACACACACACACACACATTCATCAGAGGATATCTTTATTTTACTCAGTTGAAATTTATTTGTTTAAAAATTCAATGATTACGCAATCCCAAATATGTTTTTTTTCTTAAGATTTCCACTCTTTCAAAGGACCCAACAATCAAGTTATCACGTATCATAAACTTTCTTAAGGGCATAGTGGTTCAGAAACGTTAGCAGGCGGCGCTGGCTGCCTCTGAAAAGACCAGCTAGGCGTGGCGGCGGGCAGCTCCGCGGGGCGGGGGCGGAAGTGACCTTCGCGGCGGGCAGGGCGGCGGCCGCCGGAGCCGGAGCACAGCGCCGCCTGCTGGTGGAAAAGGGGAGCCGAGCCTGTGGCGTCGCTCCCAGACGCTTAGACCCGCAAGCTTCCAAACATGGTTGCAGTCAGGCTGCAGCACGTAATGCCTCCACCAAACAAAACTGAAAGTCATGCGTAAAACCAGAGCAGTCTTTGTGTTGAGAAGAGAAACCCAGAGGCCTAAAATGGTTTTGGTGTTTCAGAGGGTTTGACTGTTTTTAACGCTTCCTAAAGCTTAAACAGAGTGGATTTGATTTTTGTGGTATTGTATAATTGTTAGGACAATTCTAAAGGAGAATGCAAAATAGAACCTGGTAGGGGCTCTCTTTAATTTATCTTATCCTGCTTTACGTTGTTTAGACAATATTAAAAGAGGTTATCAGAAGCAAATTGGGGCGGTCGGGCGGACAGGGGGTTGAGTTTCAAAGGTGGTTGTGCGTATTTCTCCTTATGGCCCTTCATTTTTATTCCGGGATTGTTGCAGTGCCATTTTAGAGTCCCTCCTCCTCTCCCCACTTCCTTTTCCTCTTCACTCATTTGACAGGAGCCTCAGCGACCATCTGCTTAGAACACGTCATCGCCATCCACTGGGAGAGAATTGTGGTACCACCTTTCTCCCCCTATGGCTGAAGCTCAGAAAGATGATTTGCACTTCTGCTCCTGAGCCAGCGTGATTGCTGGGAATTGTGCCCTGCAAGATGATGCCAACGTGCAGCTTCCCGGTTTTTATGCTGCAAAGAGCTTTATGTTGCCCTTCATGAAGCTGATGCTTCCGCTTCTAGAGCCCTGTCCTTCAGGTCGCCTAAAAGATGTGCTAATAACCCTTTGTCCCTTCCACTTACAGAGATTGCGTTAAGTGTAAGAATTGTACATTTCTGCTTTCTTCTAGTAAGGGAATGAAGACCCATAAGTGGACAGTTTCATTTTGTAGGAGGCCACCTGCAAGAAAGTGAAAGGGGCCTAGATTCAACCACAAAGCCGGAATAGCAGCATACCGTTTCTCCCCCTACCAATAAAAACACAGGTCTAGGAATGCTTTCCATTAAAGACAAGATGCAATCAGGCTAAGGGAGAGTCCCTAAAATGGCGCTTCCACAGTAGCTCTTAAGACTATCTTCATGGTGATTTTAGCTCTTTATAATAGGAAAAAACACACCCCTGTGTGGAGATTTAAGACGCTAATGAGACATGCGTAGTATGTCAAAGCATGTGGCCCTAGAGCACTTTTCTCCAGCTGACGCCAGCCCTCCAAAAGAGAGAGCTGACAGATCAGCCAGCAAAGGCACTCGCCGGTGCTATGGAAATGCATTTAGCAGAGGTTGGGGAGCCACATCCATTTTCTGTGTGCTCTCTCTTGATGCAGCAAGCTTTGGTCTCTTCCCTCTAAAGTTCAAGAAATCTTTTCTGCTCGTCACCTCCCATGATTTCTATCTAGGAGAAGAATCTGCCCTTCAGTTGGTAACAATTTGGACTAGTCCTGTTGTTTATCAGATCTCCGTTCTCTGACATGGAAATTCTGGCTCCCAACAGGGCGTAGCTGGAGGCATAAATTATAGGCATTGGTTCAAAACAGGACCTTCTCTTTGGTCCAGTGGCATCAGAAACACCATAATTAGGAGTGTAACTGGAACAGAAGTCTTCTTGGGGGCCCAGGAGAAGAAAGGTTGGGCTGCCAAGTCCTGAACTTGGCCACTTGGGCTCTGTGTAGTCTTCATGCTCTGAATCCAAGCCCACGAGTTTGCTCGTGTCCGGAGGACAAAGAGGAATGGATACTTAGTAACTCAGTGAATCAGAGTGTTAAACTGGTGGGGCTAAAAATCTTTTTAGGAGAAAGATTTTATTAGGTCATTGCTAGCAAAAAAGAAGACTGGTCTCAGGGCCTGGAGTCTAAACCACAGGCAGCGTGCTAGGTAGAAAAGAATTATGTCCATGGTTCCGGAGTTTTGCAAGTGTGTTTATATTATACCTCAGGTATGGGGAGGGGGATGTGAGCCATTCGGGAAGGGTTTACATTGGCCGTAGACAAAGGGGATGGGAGAAGGTGAGGAGGGGCGTGGTACAATAGGTGCCTGTGGATTCCCTGTGGGCAGCGGATTGGAAAGTCCATTGTAAGTGAGAAGCCGAGCCTGGGGTTCAATAGCACCTGGCTGTTCTCTCTTTTGGATAAACTCTGAAATAGCCATCTAGAAATCAATCCTAACTTTCAACAGCTGTACAGGAAATGAGAGCAATATTTTGTCAGATCTGGACCACAGTATTACCAGACTAAATGTGCTGTCTCTTTCTCTCACTCTCAGCCGCTGTACTTGGCATTTAGGACATCTCTGAATTTTTTTTTTTTTTCCTTGTCCAGGGATAGGATCGAAGATGATGCCTGATGTGTTTATTCGCAGAGAACCCGAAGTGAAGGCGAGGAATGTCTCCTTAAGCGTTCCTGTGCTATGAAGTGTCCTCGGGGGAGGGGATGTGTGAGCAGGACAGCTGATCGCATTAATAGTGTGCAGACAGGCACACGTCTTCCCCAGGACTGCCGAACCAAGTGTGATTAAACTAATCCGCAGAGACCCGGCCCTAAGCCTCCTGCGGCCGTCCTCAGCGGGAGTCCGCCGCCCAGACAAAGCCGAGAGGCTGCTCCGAGGGGCAGGGGCGCCTGCTTTCTCTTTGTTCTTCCTCGGAAAGCCGGCTCTCTCTCGTTTCATAAACCAGCTGCTTTTACCTCTTACAGGAGGGCCAAATAAATTCATTGCCATCCATGATCTGAAAAGCATATTTTTGGAGCCCTGAACTCTGCTAGTAAAAAGGGTCAAACTATAAAATTCTCAAATGTGTACATTTTTATTCTGGGTTTCAAGGCAAAAATTTCAGAAACGTGCATCTCTTTATCAAATAAAATTAAAAATAAAAAGGTCACTTCCCGGGGCTACGCCTGTCTGAGCATCACTTAAAAACAAACAAATAACCCCCCTTCAGAAAGGTTGCTAGAGACAAAGACGTTTTGAATCCCAGCTAACCTAATGATTACAGGCCCTGCACCTTACACTTAAGAGTCTCGTCTTCACTGCGGTAGGGTTTAGTGAGCGAATTCCTTTGTCTGCCAAGAAACCCCTTCAGCAGTATAAGGACTCTCGGAAAATTACATCTTTTCACACTGTGATTTTTTTTTTTAAATATAAGAATGATTTAACATAGCTCCTCTAAAACTAAAAACATTCAGAATTGTCTGTCCCTAATTTAAGTGTGGAATTAAGACAAAGGGTGTTTGTTCCTGAATAAACATGCCATTCTCCAAGCACTCAGAGCACCTGCTGCCTGGAGTGATTAAACATTTATTTTTAAAATGAATTGATTTGAGAAAGAGAGAGATGGAGAGAGAGAGAGAGAGAGAGAGAGAGAGAGAGAGAGAGAGAGAGAGAGAGAGAGAGAGAGAGAGAAAGAGAGAGAGAGAGAGATTTTGTCGCACTTATTTATGTATTCACTGGTTGATTCTTATATGAGCCCTGACAGGGGATGGAACCCATAGCTTTGATATATCGGGATGACACTGTAAATAACCAAACTACCTGACCAGATCTCTGGACTGATTTTAAAATAAAAGCCACATGTGGCTTCTACACTTGACAGATGAGATGGCCTTTTATGTCCAGTGGGGCTTGCTGGAATTGGTTCACACACACAGAGAAAAAGATTAGTGGGTTGGGACGAACTAGGCTGACATTTTGGAAATATACTAGGTTTATTTCCTGGGAATTCTCACACACACACACACACACACACACACACACACACACACCATCCAAACAGGTACTTTCAGTCCCTTCACATGGCGTCCTCAGGCTCTTTAAGACAGTTCCTATTCTTTGGGGATTTTAATCTGCTCACTAAATATCAGCTCTTTTTTCTGGAATATATCTGCACATTTCTACTCAACTGAGCCTTGGGGCGTGTGGCTCAGAGCAGCCGCATTGCCAGCACTCTCAAGAGGAGGTGAGAGCAGCCCCAGCCAGGAAACCAGCCCATGTCAGCCCATGATCTAATGGCTCAAATTCTATAGATGAGACCCAGGTCGGTGTCCAAAATAATCCTGAAGCTAGGTAAGGAACAAATAAGCAGGTGTTAAAGGTACACCTTTGTAATTAACAGAGAATTCTGATAAAATAGCCACTGGGCATGCATATCCATAACCCCACCCTGTGTTTATGTCATTAACTGTTACCCAGAGAGCGAATTGAAGAACGCCTTCACTTGGCAGCTTCAAAGTTCTTCCCAGTGCTCACCTTGCACATTCAGGCACTTCATCTTAACTGCCAGCACTTCCTTTATGTTTCACACAGGACTCAGCGGGGTATTAGACATGCAGGAGGCACTTAGGGAATACGTGCTTTAAAGAAGAAAGAAATTATGGAAAAAGGAACGAGTGGTTGCACTTTAATCCTGAGGTTAGGCCTGCCTTTACTGTCACATCTGAGGAAACTGGATAGTGATATTTTATAGACGGAAACAGAAATAGGGATGTTGCAACTTCTCTGCCTTACAGTGATGGCTGCTGACTTTCCTATATACCAGAAACTTTGCATACATATCTCCTTTAAACCTCACCATACAGCTACGTTTACTATGATTACTACCCTTACTTTACATACAACAAAACATTACCCAAGTCACACGACTCACAAATAGCCACATTAGGACTTGAATCCAGAGACCTGTCAGTTTCCAAAGGATCATTCCTGCTCCTGAATGTCTAATAGCAATATTCATAGCTTCAGGTACTAACTACCCTTCTTTGAGGAATTACTTGACAACAGAATATCTGAAGAGGGAAGGAGAGGGAAAAGGGTAAGCAAACCCAGTTCATAACCTATATATCTCAGTATGTGTGTTTTCTCATGCATTCTCATTTCATCCTCACAGCACTCTGTCAAATGTGTTATTACTATATATATATATATATATATATATATATATATATATATATATATTAGTTTGTTCTGAAAGAACTAGAGCTTTTTTTTTTTCTTTTTTCCTTTTTATATTTTGATTGGTTTCAGGGAGGAAAGAAGAAGGACAGAGAGATAGAAACATCAAGGATGAGAATCATCGATTGGCTGCCTCTTGCACACCCCACACCGGAGATTGAGCCCGAAACCCAGGCATGTGCCCTGACTGGGAATCGAACCATGACCTTCTGGTTCATGGCTTAAACTCAACCACTGAGCCCGCCAGCCGGGCACTGTTTCTTACATATAAGAAATATATCTTGGGAGAACAGATGAGTTCAAGAAAAAGTGAATGCTAAAATTCTGCACCTGAGAGAGAACAAAGCTGTGATAACACTGTGCCTGCCCTAGGCCTCCCAGCTCAGCTCAGAGCGCTTTTTACATTTTCTTCCTTTCTTCCAATGAACACTCCAATGAGCCATAAAGCTTATGCCTGTCTCTACGTACCCCATAAAAACAAATACGGTTAAATGTTGACTTGCTGTGTCACTAAGGCATTTGAAATCGAGGCAATGTAGAGAGGAAACAGTAAAAGTGACAGTGCATAAAATGCTACATAACAATTAAAAGCAATGAATTAGATTTAAACATACTCCCATGAAAAGCTCTTCAGCAGGCATATAAAATTAAAAAATATAAAAAGCCAGTTACGGAATAAAAAGTACAGCATGGTACCATTTATGTTTTCAAAAGTCATACACACAAAATAATGATGCGAACACACGTAGGAAACAAGTTTGTTACACCCCAAATAACTGGTTTCTCCGGGGAGAGGACTGGGTCCAAGGGGAGGTGCGTAGCAATGTCAGGCTTTTCCTTTACCTTTGTACAAAATAATTTATTCAAATACGTGTATGTAAAAGGAGAGGGGGAGGACAGAAAAGAAACAAGGGCTGCTGTTAGAAAATAAAGGGTTTAACAACAGGCAGTAAAGGTAAGTGGTACACAAATGCCAAACTAAAATCCACAGCCTCAATCAGGTCCATACGAGATCAGTAGATTAGAAGAAAATTCTCGTGTTGGCATTATTATAATAAATGGGATGATTCTAAAATGTAATATCTCCTGACTCTACCAGAAATGCAGGGCTGAGAAGTACACTAGACTCAGAGCCAGATGTTTGGATTCAAGGCCCGACTCTGCAATTCTCTGTAACCTTGGGCTAATTTTTCAGGGCCTTACTGTCCTTTATCTATGGAATGAAGATAATAGTAACACACTTCCTAGGGTTCTTCCCGGATTAAATGAGATAATGCACAGGAAAGAATAACAAAATTATGCCAACTGAGACTTATAACTTCTACATTGCATTTGTGTTTACTCTTTCCCCATTCTTTCTCTCCCCCTTCAGAAAATTATTTTTCTCACACCTTTAAGTGCTTCACACTGAGGAACAATTAAATTAGAAAAATATTGATCTTTGATATATTTGCTGATAACAAATAGGCCTACCTTATTTGAGTCTTTAGATTATGCACATAAAGAATTTCTAAGCTTCAATAACCTGTATTCAGGTATTTATTTTAAGGAACATATTTATTTGATTCCATTTATAAAATATATCCCTTTCCTGGGAAACCCACTTTTCATACAAGAACTAAAATATCCAAATCACATAGGCCATTTAAAGCATAAGCTGTGAATGGAATTTAATTTTTTTGCATCTGAAAATGTGCTTATTTGCAGTCTTACTGAAATTTCAGGCTGCTCTTAAATTTTAAGAATTCAATTATAAGCTTTTTAATAAAAAAAAGGTTACAAAAATAATAAGAGAAATAGTAATACCACCCATATAATTAAACACACACACACACACACAAATATGCGCAAATGAATAAATATTAGTTGCATGCACACAGCAGTGTCCACACCATATGATGTAACTATTTTCAACTGCAGCCTCACCTTTGAAACAGCCATGTTCTCTTCTGCTTTTGCTGGATATGCACATGTTAAAAAGCTTGGGGACCTGAAGATTCCTGGTCAAGTAAATTAAAAATCCAGTTTCAGTTGTTTTGCAGTTTGAGTTCAGCAAGGAAACATCTGAAGGGACCAATTCCAAGCACACAAAGCACACAGCCCTCCCAAGCTCCTCCACCCCATTAAACTGAGCTGTCATTTTAGAGCTGGGCGCCCATTGTTCACTTTCTCCTTCTCTAATTAGATTTGACAGATTGCTCTTTCTAGCTAGACTGGCTGTTGCCAAGTACAGAGAGAGGAGATGAGGCTGACCTTGTCACTATGCCCTTGGGATCGGCGCCCCCACCCCCCATCCTAGTCCACAGATACTGTATCCCCAGCAGCTCAAATCTGTTCTCCTTCTGCTCCTCCAGCCTCGTCCTGCTGTGCCCCCGCAGTCTTAGCACCACCGACTTTCCTTAATTTCAGTACTATGAGCCTCAAACCCCCACAGGCTGTGGAAGTGCAATGTGTGCGCTAATGTTTTTCATGTTAATACTCTGACCCTCGAATTTTTCTGCAGCCCTGGGGGACAAAGCAGACCAGCTTTTCTAAAGAGAAAGATGCTGCAGCTCTGCCTGGAGCCAAGAAATATGGATTGTGAATGAAGCGGAGCCTGGGAAGGACGCAGGCCCTGCACTACCTCCATATGTCAGAAACAAATCCCTTGCCCCATGCCACCAATAATTCTCGAGCCTTTATCATGTCAAACACATGTTACAATGGTATTATCTAAGAATTAGGTAATAAAATGATAGAGCTGGAAATGATCTTAGAGATCATTTAGTCCAATGTTTTCATTTGGAAGATTAGAAAAAGACAGGCCAAGAGAAGGAGGTGACATGCATAGTGTCATGAAATTAGTTCACAGACTTTAAACACCTGGCAGTGTACAATAGTCTGCTAATCAGCTTTTTCACTAACCTGCCTTTCCCCAATTTATACTATGCTTGATAATAAATCGTATTAACCAGGAAAGAAACTTTCTTTGAGGAAAGAATTCTCCTCACCCAAGGACTATGTTTTCAGAAATGCTTCCCTTTACTGAGACGCCAATGGTCTTGTAATAGAACCTGAGTCACCCAAATGACTCTCATAGGGGCACAGGATGGAACTCAACAGGCTGGAGGTCTGGGGCCTTGCTTCCGATTAAGAATAGCCCTGACCTTGACCTAAGTCTGTCTGTGCCCACCACTTCAGGAGCTGTTAGCAGGAGAGACTTTAGGAATTTCTTCTGGGAAGAGATCTACTGTTTCTAAGGTTGCAATGCAAAAACCACTCATTTATTGTTAATTCACCTACTCATAAATATTTATTTATTTAATATATTTTATTGACTTTTTACAAAGAGGAAGAGAGAGGGATAGAGAGTTAGAAACATTTACGAGAGAGAATCATGGATCAGTTGCCTCTTGCACACCCCCTCCTGGGGATGTGCCCACAACCAAGGTACGTGCTCTTGACCGGAATCGAACCCAGGACCCTTCAGTCCGCAGGCTGACGCTCTATCCTCTAAGCCAAACCAGTTTTGGCGGTGGGGATTGATTTTTATCTTTATTTGATATGAGAGAAGTGGATCAGAAATAGATGTACTTCAGCCATAAACATTTATTAAAAGCCCATTTTTTCTATGTATCTGGGGGCTGATAAGACTAGTACAATGAGTAGGATCTAGCTTCAAGGAGCCTCAGGAGGAGCCAGCAGTGCAAACACTAATGTTCAGCGGGGCACTGTGAGGGTCAGGATAGAAGGAGAAGATGGCCAATCTTCCTTCATTGGGGTTTAAGGAATCAGAAAAACGTCATAGTGGGGATGATGCTTGAGCTGAGCTTTGGGAAACAAAGGTTATTTTCTAGGTAGAAGTGAGGCAAATACATGGTATTCAGACAGAGAGTGAGCCTGGTGTGGTTTCTTTTTGTGTGGCTTTTATTTTGGGGATGGGGGAGGGGAGGATGGCTTTTGGCCTGCATAGTATGAGGAAGTATCACCAAAGGTGAGACTGGAAATTTAGGTAGTGATCAGTGAAAACATTATATGATAAAGGAAGAAGTTTGAATTTTGTTGTGGCAGTTCATGGGAACCATTGAAAGAGTTTCAAGCAGGAAAATAATATGATCCAAAATGCATTTTATTTATTATTATTTTTTAAAATTTAATAAATCTTTATTGCTCAGATTATTAAAATTGTGTCTCCTTTTCCCCTCCATAGCTCCCTTCCATCTGGTTCCCAACCTGTGAGTCATGACCCACAGGTTGAGAATCGCTAGCAGGGTCGCCTAAGACCATCGGAAAACACAGATATTTACTTTATGATTCATTAACAGTAGCAAAATTACAGTTATGAAGTAGCAACGAAAATAATTTTATGGTTGGGGGTCACCACAACACAAGGCACTGTATTAAAAGGTCGCGGCATTAGAAAGGTTGAGAACCACTGCTCTAAAGAGTGTTCTGTATTGTAACGTGTTCAAAACTTTCAGTAAGCGTTCCTCTGTTACAAACTACTTCTATCCAAGTGGCCTCACAAGTTAGGAATTTGACCAGCTGTCCATGGGGAAGTGGGCTAAAAAAAAAAAAATCCCAAGCATTCTCTCTCTCTCTCTCTCTCTCTCTCTCTCTCTCTCTCTCTCTCTCTCTCTCACACACACACACACACACACACACACACACACACACACACACACACACATTTCTGGGCTTAGCAATACACTGTATAATTGCTACTTACTCACAAAGTTTATTCCTTATTCAGTTATTTCTGTCCTCTGCAAAGTGGGAAGCATTAGGGAAGTCAATTGCTCTTAGTTATTACTATGACTCATGGTGAGTTCAAGTCTGACACCCAGGGCCACTGCCTCCAGCAACTGCTCATCCAGAGCTGATATCATCTTATTGATGATATCTTATTTGATATCATCACTGACCACAGACAGAGGGACTTGACCAAAAGCCATAGGTGTGGCTCTAGGCAAAATGCATTGGTAAATAAATATGTCTCATAGGACACACCTCAGATCTAGAAAGAAACCTAGAGAGCATGCAAGCCCTGAAATTCCTAACCTTTGATAAGCAACAAACTCACCTTAGAAGCTTTTGAAACATCTCAGGTGAGGTCCCAGATTGTATCTTTTTCAAAAAGCTTCACAAGCAATTCTGCTGCACATTAAAAGCTGGGCATCACTATTCTAATCCCATTCCTCTAGTTTTACAGATGCTAGCCTGGGGCTCAGAGAAGCTGCTGGCTTGTCCAAGATCACACACCTGGTTAACAGCAGAATCAAGACTATAATTCGTGACCCAGGGTCTTTATTATTTTTTTTCAAACTGTAAGAGAACATTTATCTGGAAAATCACAGAGGTAGAATAAGTAATTCGTAAAAGACATGGGCTTAGGAAACAAGCTATAGAGGTAAAGGAAGGGAAGGGCTTATAAGTCAGGAAGGTAAAGGTGACTGTGCCTGAAGGGAGGGGAGGAAGGGAGGGAAAGGAAAGGTGCAAGCTGGTGTGCTTCCAGGAGGGAGAGTGCCCTGGGTCCTTGTCCTAAGTGTTTTCAATGGGTCCCTGCTGGCACCTACCACTGGTCCAGGTCTGCAAGGTGGTCCCAAGTGGGCTTCTCCAGAATGCTGCCACACAGTTCAAATCACGGCACCATAATGTTGGGGAAAGTGAAAACAGCACCAGATGTTGGACTGATGGGGTCACACTGGACCTGGGTTCAGCAAACTTGGTACTAGAGTTCTGGCTAGGAAAGAATTCAGAGCCAAGACTCAAACCATAAGAGAACCTTTATTTTGGAAAATCACAGGGATAGAAGTAACTCATAGAAGAAATGGGCTTAGGAAACAAGTTATAGAGGTAAAGGAGCTTAGAAAAGGAGGAAGGTAAGATCAACGGAAGGACTTGCATGCATGCATGCATATAAGCATAACCAATGGACGAAAAACTCTGGGGAGAGAGGGCATGTGTGGGAGTGGGGGAGGTGGGATTGGTAAGGTATGTACACATATAATACTTAATTTAAAAAATGAGAAAAAAAGAAAGAAAGGAGGAAAGTAAAGGTGATGTGCCTGGTGGGGGGTGGGGGCCGGGGGGGGGGGTAAGCCTCCAGCGTGCTCTGGGAGGGAGAGAGCCTCAGGATCTTTATCGTTACTCTAGCCTCCCATACCACTGACTGCTTTCCAAATATGTACTGTTATTCCTTCCTAGTACATTCGAAAATATATACTTTAACCATTGGTTATTTAATCAAGTCAGTTTCAAAATCTAGCATTTATGAAGGAAGCCAGTGACACAAGACCACATCCTGTATGATTCTGTCTCTATGAAATGGCCAAGACTGTCAGTTCTATAGTGATAGAAGTAGACTGTTAAATTACCAGGAGCTGGGGGTAGGGGATGGAAATGGGTACAGGGTTTCTTTCTAAGGTAAAGAAAATGTTCTAAAATTAATTGTGATGATGATTTTACAAGTCTGTGAATATACTAAAACACTGAATCATATACTTTCAAAAAGTGAGTTGTATGATATATAAGTTAGATTTCAGTAAAGCTATTTTTAAAATCTAGCACTACTCACTGGATTCTGAAAAATAATTTAAAACTTTTGTTTATTTCATTATTCAACATTTCTCTAAGATGATAGTCAGTGTCCAAATGGGTCTTATTCTTAAATTCAGATTCCTACTTAGGTCCATTTCCCAGTGCCCTATACCCCCCTAACAGATGAACCTTTCCAGAGCGCAGTCTGGCACTTAGAATCCTTGTTCTTCATAACACCAGGCTCTGTGCCTTTGCCACGATCGCTCCCTTCACTGAGAAGGCCAATTTGTCACCTCTTCAAAGGCCTTTCCTCTCCACCAAACTGGAAGTGGTCTACCTTCCAGAAGAGGTGACATTTTGGCTAAATGTTGTTATTGTTTTTTGTTTTTATTTTTGCTAAATGTTTTGATATCATGTAAAAAGGATCACCAATCTTCCAGCTTAGGATCTTTGGGCCCTACAGGACCCCTTTCAGTAAGTGAATGCCACATTTAATTTTTCTTATTGCAGCACCCCAGGTCTAACACCAAATTCTGTATATGTTACTTTATTTGTTTTTTGCTTTCTTCTGCTCAACCAGGTATCCTTCACTGCCTCTTTTTCCCACCTCCTCACACCCATTCCTCTTCCCACTTCCTCCCTCCCAACTTGGCTAAGTCTTGCTAGGTGTTCAGGACCCTGGGAAAATGTCTTCTCCAGGAACACATCCCTTCACCCTTGGGATGGTGGCCAAACTAAAGTACTATCATGGCAAGAGAAGTATAGAGAAGTGGATACATTTGAAAAGTATTAAGGAGACAAAATTGGTAAAATTTGCTAATGTGAAATAAATATAAACATAAATCACAAAGATCAAACAGAATAAACAGTGAACTTGGGACTAAGAATTGGTAACAACTTAAAGTAATTTCATAGTATGTTTTCCACTGTGTTTATGTCATCTGAAATTTTAACAAGATGGATGGATCCTCTGTATCCTGCCAAACACATTCCTTTCCTAATATTGCTTTACTGATCCTGGACCTCTAATGACTCCTGGCTGATGCACCAAGCCTAAACTCCACTTTGCTTTAAAGGCCTTCAGAGCTGGTCCAGCCCTTCCCATCGGCTCCGCCCAGCTGTGGCCAGGCTGGCTGCTTCATTCTCCTGCAGATTTTGCTCACTCCTGGCTCTAGCACTTTTTTGACCCCCTTGTCTGGGGCAATCCTTTTCCTATGCACATCTCAGGGACCAATCAAAACTCAGCTACATGAAATCCTGCCTGCCTGGTCCATGTGCCCTCTGAACTCCTGCTGCATTCATATCGATAGTTGGTAGCAGCTGATTTAGCATTTAATAATATATGTTCATATAGCATAGTTTACTGCTGTTTTAATGTATGTTAGTTATGTTTCCCCAACTAGATTATAAATTTATTGAGGTTGGGAACCATCACTTATATTCTTTAAGATCATAAATTCTGAAAATAAACTATGTTCAAATCCTACTCTTCAACTTGCTAGCTATGTGACGTTGGGCAAATGGTTTGATTTCTCTATGCCTTAGTTTCTAATATTTAAAATGAAGATAATAAAAGTACCTATCTCATAGGGTTGGCTGTATGGCTACATGAGGCAATTCATGTACAGTGCCTAGCAGGTGCCTGGCACACTGTAAGAACTTAGTCAATATTAACTCTTACTATTATCTCTCATATTGCTTAGCTTATCATTGAACTCTGTGTAAATGCCTAAAAGTTAATTTTTGCTGATTTAGTAAGTTGCATATACATCTTTTAGATGTCTAAAGGAATCTGAAATCTTGTGTTGAGGCATAAAGGGTGCATTTGTACAGACAATAATCATTCGTAAATGTTTATCAGGACACTTTTACTTCCTAAATTTTTAAGAATATATTTTTATTGATTACAGAGAGGAAAGGAGAGGGAGAGAGATAGAAACAACAATGATGAGAGATAATCATTGATCAGCTGCCTCCTGCACACCCCTACATTGGATGGAACTAGCAACCTGGGCTTGTGCCTGGGAATTGAACCATGTCCTCCTGGTTCATAGGCTGATGTTTAACCACAGAGCTATATCAGCTAGGCTTACTTCCTAAATTTTGAGGAATATCTTATAATTTTCCTCATGTATTCCCTCACCTGGATCCTGGAACCCAGGTGGGGAAATCAAGAGGATTATCTCTCTCACTTTATAAGGAAACAGGGAATGAGCATTACATGCCAAGATAGAAATCAGATGCCTTGAGTATTCTGGATGCCAAATCATCTGCTAAGATCCATACTAAAAAGTCTCCATTTGTATAGTTTTCTGTGTTTGATTGTATATGCCGCAAAGAAACAAACATAAATTGGCCTATTGGTAGTTGAGGCGACAGTATGTCTGGTAGAGTTCAAGTCAATAATAAAGATGGGAAGGAGATAATTAAAGACCCAAGGCTGAGCTCTAGACCCAGGCTATTATTATATTTTATATTGTACCAATTACCATGTATGCCCCTCCCCACAATGCTCTACAAACTAAGCGGCTTCAACTAGCTTATCTGGAAGAGCCAAAGCCTTGAATCCATGTAGTCCCTGGAAGCATCCTGTAAAATCCTTGTGGTTCATATTACTATAGAGAAAATTAATTATTGTTGTGGAGGAGGAATATGAGACTGCAGCAGCTGCTACTACATAGACAGTCATGGGAGGTGTGTGGGACCCATACTATTGTATCATAAAAGATTGTAGAATGTGAGTACTTCAAAAAAATTCCTTGAGGTTATTCCTCTTCTTTTACATTTAAATGTCATATTTTCCCAATGAAAGGTTTAAAAATAAGAGCTGGTTGAAAAACAAAATGCATTTATTTATTTTAGGATGTGAAGATACAAGACAAGGAGGCTAGAAGGCAATTGCACTGAAGCACAATGCTACCTGCTGATGGTTCTCTTTGTCCAAAACCTCTTAAAGCAACAGATGATGGCCATAGCTGTGGGTCAAGGTGGAAATCAGATACAGATGTGGTGGGATGCCAGAGGTGTCATGAGAAGAGTGAGCACACATGGATTCCTGCTTGGTTCTGCCACCCACCTGGCTCTGCCTCTTCAGACAGGTCACTGAACTTTTCTGGTACACGTTTCCTCATCAATCAGATGACCAGGGAGGGACAATTATAAGATGTTCAGTGCAATTGCCTTCTAGGTTCCTTATCTTTTTTAAAAATATATATTTTATTGATTTTTTTACAGAGAGGAAGGGAGAGGGATAGAGAGTTAGAAACATCGATGAGAGAGAATCATCGATCAGCTGCCTCCTGCACACCCCCTACTGGGGATGTGCCGGCAACCAAGGTGCATGCCCTTGATCCGGATCAAACCTGGGACCCTTGAGTTTACAGGCCGAAGCTCTATCCACTGAGCCAAACCGGTTTCGGCAAGATATGATCTCTAAAGCTCTTTCCAGTCCTGACATTTGATGATTTTATGGAGTCTAAGAAATCTATGCAATATTCTGTACTTTATATTATTTCTTTCCATGGATCTTTCTCTCTCCCTTCCTCCCTAACCTTCCCAGAAGGCACATCCTATCCCCTTCTCCCTTTGATTTCTTCAGAATTTCAAAAATATTTCCAAGTCTAAAAATATTGGTTACAATGATGTGCTCCTTACATTCCCCTCCCTGGCCTTGTTGGTGTCTAGAAGGCATTTAGTGAAACTTGACTTAAAATTTGTAGTTTCAAAGGAACAGGAAGGAAGCAGATACTGAATGGCTAGCCCTGGGCCTGTCTCGGGGCAGTTTCCCTACATGAGCTGAACAGTAGTTCTACACAAAGCTAATGAATACACACTACTTCTCTATTTCCCTCGAAACGGTTCCTTAGAATTAGGATTTTTCTCAAGTCTCCCTAATTGTTCTAAAGCATACTAGGTTTTTCAGGACTATCCTCTGATATAATTTCTGAGCAAGCAGCCAGCATGAAAAAGGACTGGGTCAGCTCCCTTTGTGAGCCAGTGTTTGGCAGCTCAGCTCCTCAGGGATGTGTCTCCTGGCATCCATCCAGCCTAGCCTATCAACAATAAAAGCTTCTCTTTGTGCTTCCAGAAAGTCATAAATAAATCTCCTCCATCCCACCTGTTTCCGAGAAGAGCTTCAGTGTGTCTTTTACTTTGGGTTAAAAAAAAAGAGAGAGACACAATCGCCGCTTTAGAAAAAAGGTTTTAAATGTCGACTAAGCAATTGTTCCTTTTCATTGTTTCCCTACTCCCAGAATTTAGATGTGTAATTTGAGTTACAGTCCCTTTAGTTGCCAGGTTCTGAGACTGGACTACTTTCCCACTTTATGCTAATTGCCTTTTTGAAGCTGCTTGGCCCTAAGCAATCCTCCTGTGTGTGGGAAGTGTTAGTTGTGGAAGAAGGACTCGTTACCTGAGCAGCGAGGAAGGCATACCCTCACAAGACAACACCACACAAGGCGCAGGGCAGTGACCTACCTGGCAAAGGCTTCAGGAACTCTAGTAAGTATCCCCAAAAGGTGAGAAGGCCAGGGCTATTGGCCTCTGGGGCAGTAACAGGCACCGGCTAGCATTAAAGGGAGAACAATATAGAGTTCCTGTTTAGCTAAACAAGAAAATAGTCAACCTCAATTGCAGTCCAAACAGGTTGGATATCTTAAACACCTCTCATCAAAACCTCCACTGAAACATTAAGCCTCCCATTACTGTTCTGAGGTAAACATTAATCCCATTTTCCAGGAAGACGTGGAATGAGGTCAAGCACATTATTTTCTGCTGCAGTCAATGTTGGAGTTAAAGAAATCTGCTGAACTCACTCTCAAAACTATATGAATGAGACTTTCCAGCTGATTTATTGTTGAGGTCATATGAGCAACATGTTCCCTGGGGCATTAAAAATGAAAGTAGGAAAATCCACCCCCAGCCCCAGCCCCCTAACACACACACACACACACACACACACACACACACACACACACACACACACATTCTACTGGCTATGAAAGAGGCCCAGGAGGACCAAAAATGAATATTACCAAAGAAAGTTTTCTTCTTTCCTGACAAAGGAAACAGATTTCTGTGTATGTCCCTACTTCCTTCTCTTGTAATGCCAAACTCTGCAAAGAGAGCTTTGCACATGTTCCCACCATTCAGACAGATTTTTTTACATGTGCTTCTCATTCTCTTGCTTTTCTTGATAGCTTTGCTACCTATATCTGCATCCCTGGACAAAAGGGTTTATCTCTGCTTGTTGTCTGTATTAGTTTGCTAGGACTGTCATATCAAAGTACCACAAGCTGGGTGACTTAAACAATAGAAATTTTTTTGTTTCACGGTTCTGGAGGTTAGGAGTCTGAGTTGGAAGAGTTGGCAGGGTCTTTCTGAGGACTGTGAGGGAAGGAGCTGCTCCAGGCCTTTCTCCTTGGTTTGCGGATGACCATCTTCTCCCTGTATCTATGTGCATCATTTCCTTCTAAGCATGTCTGTTTCTGTGTCCGAATTTCCCCTTTTTATAAGGACATCAAGCATATTGGATTAGGGCTCATGCTAATGACCTCACTCTAACTTAATTACCTCCTTAGAGAATTTGTTTCTAAATAAGATCGCATTCTGAGGTGCTGGAGGTTAGAACTTCAACATTGGAATTTTAGGGGGGACACAATTCTACCCATTAAACTGTCAGAAATAGAGGTCCTTAGGGAACTAGACTATGAGATGGGATTTAGCATCACATGTTTGTCAAGGCTTGTGCTTGGGATCAACATCTGGGAAAGACAGGGGTGGGGAACAGGATCAGGCAGATGGAGGAGTCAAGTTGTGATGCAGACTCTCAACAATTGCCTTAGCTGACCCCACAGGGCACTCTGGAGCAACAATAGTCCTTTAGAATTGTCCTGAGTTGGGCCAAGATGGCCAGAACTTTATACTATCACATCAGTCAGTCATTAGACTTGGCCACCTTAGGAAAGGGCATGACCTTGAGTGAGAAAGCTCTCTGAAGTTGAAACAGTCTCTGAAGGGACTGATGGTTGGGGCCAACAGCACTCTCAGCAGCCAGGGCAACAAGCCCTCAGCAAAGGGGGATCTATCTGGGCAGTGCTTCATAGAGCCCACCACACCGTGAATTCTATAAAAATGGAATATCTTTTTTGCAAGTTGCTTTTCAAAATCTTTTGTGGATATTTTCAAACACGTTCAAAAGTAGAATAGTATAATTAACACCTACATACCTATCATCTAGATACACCAATAATCAAGATTTCACAACACTTGCTTCATCTCTTTCCTTCTCTCTCTCCCCCAGCTCTTTTTATTACATACTGGTTTCAGGTAAACAGCTTAATGGTTAGAAAATCATACCATTTACATAGTGTTCACCTCAATATTTCCTATCTGGCACCATATGTAGCTATCACTTTATTACTGACTATACTAGAGGCCTGGTGCATGAATTCTGGGGGTGGGGGGCAGTTGGCCAGAGGGGGAAGGGGCTGCAGGAGGTTGACTAGCCGGCCCTGTCCCCGACAGGACCGGTTGGCTGGCCTCAGTACACATCATAGCAACTGGTCATTCTGGTCCTTCAGGTCGCTCTGGTCATTTCAGTCACTTGGCTTTTATATATATATATATATTTTTTTTCAATGCTTTACTTCCTTACCCATTACTATTTTGTAGCTACCAATTTATGCTTCTTAGTCCCTTCATCTTTTTTATTAATTGCCCCAACCCTCCCCTCCCCTCTGGCAATCATCAGTTCCCTCTTTGTATCTAAAAGTCTGTTTCTATTTTATCTGTTTATTTTGCAAGTGAAATCATATGGTACTTGTCTTTCTCTGACTGACTTATTTCATTAGGCATAATACCCTCTAGAGATCCATCCATGCTGTCGCAAATGGTAAGATTTCATTCTTTTTATAGGCAAGTAATATTTTTTTTTCTTTTTTCTTTTTTAAAAATATATTTTATTGATCTTGTACAGAGAGGAAGGGAGAGAGATAGAGAGTTAGAAACATCGATGAGAGAGAGTCATCGATCAGCTGCCTCCTGCACACCCCCCACCGGGAATATGCCCGCAACCAAGGTACATGCCCTTGACCGGAATCTAACCTGGGACTCCTCAGTCCCCAAGCCGACGCTCTATCCGTTGAGCCAAACCGGTCTCGGCAAGAGCAAGTAATATTCTATTGTACATATGTGCCAAAGGTTTTTTTTATCTACTTGTCTATTGATTGGCACTTGGGTTTCTTCCATAGCTTGACTATTGTAAATATTGCTGCAATGAAGATAGGGGTTCATATATTCTTTTGAATTAGTGTTTTGGGTTTCTTTGGATAAAGCCCCAGAAGAGCAATCACTGAGTTGTAAGGCAGGTCCATTTTTAATCTTTTGAGGAAACTCCGGACTGTTTTCCATAGTGGATGCTCCAATACCAATCTGCATCCCCACCAGCAGTGCATTAGGGTTCCTTTTTCTACGACCTCTTGCCAACACTTGTCATTTGTGGATTTATTGATGATATCTTGTTGTGGTTTTAATGTGCATTTCTCTGATTATTAGTGATGTTGTGCATCTTTTCATATGTCTATTGGTCTTCTTTATGTCCTCTTTGGAGAAGTGTCTATTCAAATCCTCTGCCCATTTTTTAATTGGGTTGTTCATTTTTTTGGTGTTGAGTAGTATGAGTTCTTTATAAATTTTGGATATTAACTCCTTATCAAATGTATCATTGGTGAATATGTTTTCCCATTTGGTAGAAATTAGCCACATCTCCATGAAGCCCTGACTTTTTTTTTGTAGAAAATATTTTTCAAGTAAACTTTTTGTTATAGAACAGTTTTAGATTTACAGAAAAGTTATGATAGTACAAAGAAGTCTCATATACTCCACACCCAGTTCCCCCTATTATTAGCATCTTAAATTAGTAGTATGATATATTTGTCACATTTAATGAAGCAATATTGCTACATTATTATTAACTGAAGCCCACACTTAATTCAGATTTCCTTAGTTGTTCTTGGGGTATCATTGCTTCTAAGCACTCTCAGCTGATAGAGAAAGGAAATATCTGAGTATATATATATATATATATATATATATACATAATCTGTATATTACACACATACTTATTAGTATTTCTATATGCAACACTGTATCTATATTAAGCTAAACATTTATACTGATGTCTCCAACTCTCACATGAATCATTTTGGCTTCTTGCTTATCTGTAACCTCCAACTCCAACAGTAAGAAAGAACCCTGGCCGAAACTGGTTTGGCTCAGTGGATAGAGCATCAGCCTGTGGACTGAAAGGTCCTGGGTTTGATTCCGGTCAAGGGTATGTACCTTGGTTGCAGGCACATCCCCAGTAGGGGGTGTGTAAGAGGCAGCTGATTGATGATTCTCTCTCATCAATGTTTCTAACTCTCTTCTCTCTTCCTCTCTGTAAAAAATCAATAAAATATATTTTTTTTTAAAAGAAAAAGAAAAAAAAAAAGAAAGAACCCTGGCTCCCACCATCAGCTGCCATCCATTTACCTAATTGTTCAACTCCAGTATACATGTATAGTGGTTTCCAAATGGTTCATCTGTACCCTCATGGGAAGCATCTTTATTGAGTATAGTGCTTACTTATACACAGTTCCTCTTGCCCTTAGTCTTACAGACTCCACTCATCTCCAAAGTTACTTAGATCAGCACCTTTTCTCTCCATCCTCTTTCACTGAAGTTGTTCCATACATTTTTAATAGATTGTTTTATGAAGTTCTATTCTGGGACCCCCTGACCTCCTAAATGGTTTGGGAATGGTTTTTAAAATTTGCAATCTTGGTGCTAAGGGAACTTTTTGCTGCTGGGATGCCATTATTTCTAGGCCTATTCAATGAACAGATCCAGGAAATAATTTTTTTCATGGCTATAATTTTTAAGCTTTATTTCTATATAATTAACATATCATACAATTCATTCATATAAAGTGCACAATTTAATGGTTTTAAGTATATTCACAGAGTTGTGCAATCGTCACCACGATCAATTTTAGATTATTTTCATTATCCTACAAAGAAATTGTAAATCTAAGCCTTCATTTCCATTCACCCCAATCTCTTTCTATACCCTCTCTCCCTAGCAGCCCAAGCAACTATTAATCTACTTTTTGTCTCTAAGGATTATTCTAATATGGATATTTTATATAAATAAAATCATATAATATGTGCCTTTTATCTCCAACTTTTTTCACTTTGTGCATCAATTTTTAACTGGGTGTGCCACAAGAATTTGTACAACATGCTATACTTGACTATTTGGTCCAGAGCACTAATCTCTTTTCCCTTAGATTGTCAAATTAAAAAATGACAACAGACAACCCAACAATAGCCATCTGATGTGAAGAATCAAAATTATACCTTTTTTGTTGTTGTTGTTAGATGGCAAAACATATTTTTTGGTGTGCTACAGAATTTTAGTAATTAGTTTTTCTGTGCCATGAGATAAAAATGTTTAAAATCACTGCTCTAGGGACAAGTCTTTGCCTCTCATTGAAAAAGAATTATCAGGTTCAGTGGACTGGAAATGCAGAGCTCAATCAGAACCATCCATCTAAAGATCCCATAGGGTATTTATTAGGAATAATCTAGATTTGGGGAAATGCAACGATAGTGAATTGCCAGGTTCTGGAAGACTGTCCTATTAGGGCCTGTTTGGCAAAGCCAACCCCAGAGGGAGCAGACATTCTGAGTCCCTGCCATTCTCTAAGGGACAGAGGGAGTCGGAGCCTATGCTCTTCCTCTTGACATGATGCACTACACAATTTATTCCCATATAAAAATCATTCTCTTTCATAAATATGTTATTGA